CACGCACACACACACACACACACACACACACACACACACACACACACACACACACACTTAATGTGAGATCAGTGTCCCTGAAATGTGTGAGGATCACATTCATTCTTGCACCAAGAACAATCAATAATAAAACAATCCACTTGTCACAGCCGCTTTGTAAAAGCCATTTATTTTTCCACAATGCTTTAACAAAGGTTTTCCACAACTATTTAGCATTTATACATTAGATTGTGTATTTAAAGTTGTATTTTTTAAACCTAAAAGAAAAAACAACACACAAAATGGGTAAAACAACAGAGAAACTGAGATCAGAGCTTCACCACCCTGGTGCTTTCATCATTCCAACCCACTGCCATGCTATACATAACTGCAACAATCTCATGCAACAACCCCTTGCAGTTTAAGAACAGCATATGTCACAGTAAAGTGCTTTCCCCCCCAAAGTGTATATAACCCATTTACCATATAATACAAAACTTCCAGTAATGTCCAGTTCAAACATAATAAGGAGAACTAAAAGGAGAGACATCAAAATACATGCTGAAAGATTAAAAAACAATGGTGTTGGCATCTAGCACTTATTTGAATTCCCTTTAGCCCACTTCTGAAACAATGACTTAATAATTAAAACTGTATTTATGATCCCCAATCCTACAACACTTGTCCATCCAATACATTTGATTGTAAATTATATAACTCCATTACAAAAATAAAACACGTTGAAGTCTTCAAAAACCAAAAGGAGCAATGCTTCAAACTCTTACAGCTTTGGGATGCATAAGGGGACTATTTTATCATTCCAACAAATAAAATGTTAAGGAAGAAAAACACTTTTTTTCTTCAAATATTCAGCTCACAAAAACATGCTATATTGCACATCATGACCAATCTTTAAATTCCTTCATCTTCAAAAAAAACAAACTCAAGAAAAACAAACCCTCCACACAAGAAAACCATACTGACAAATCGAGCTGAGTGTTTTCTTCTCTGACCAAATATTATAGCACACATAATCTGGACGACAAGCAATCATAATACAATGTGACTTCACTGAACAATTCATTTATTATCTTTTAAAATCGAGTGCAAGGAGACAGATTATACGAAGCTTTAAATGTCTTTGTTTTTCTAAGCCAAATTTCTTCCAAAATAAATATAAAAAGTCAAGATCAACAAAAGAATAAATAGTATAGCATTTCAAAATCAAATCTGATGAACAAGGTAAACATTATTAAAGAGGCCCTATTGTGCTCCTTTTCAGGTTCGTATTTGTATGTAGTGTCTCGACTGTGACATGTTTACATGCTTTAATGATCAAACATTTCCTTATTTTTCTCATACTGCCTGTGCTGCAGCACCTCTTTTCACCCTCTGTCTGAAACCAGAGCCCAGTCTGCTCTGATTGGTTAGCTGCTCAGTTGTGTGTGTTTGGGAGAGAAAACTCCCTTTTACCCCTTTGAGGGGTTTCAGCTTTTGCAGACCATTTACATGCAATAGGACCACTTTAAGTATTATCTGAAAATGTGTTAAATACCATATAAATAAATCAGATCTTATTTTGACTTACTAATGGTAAGTCAACATTTTGAGTTATTGTCTAAACATTTAGAACATCCAATCACCTTGCAGGTATCCTTTTCTTAATAGAACCGCAGAACAACGTCTGACTGTTACTGAAAGATCAATACTACAATGGAAATGGTGCTGTTTGGAGTCTGAGATATTTGAACTGTATAGGATATTTAACCAAGTATTAAAGAAGCACAGTAAATGGTGATAAAACGATCAGACCTGAACTTTAATATAAAGCAATGCTAGCTCTCAAACAGTTAACAGTTTGCATCACATTTCCAGTTAAACCCAACATGGGGGGTTTGCAAATTCCCATTGAAGTCATGAATATATTCACAACAGATGCAACCTGTGGTGTGCACTGTATATGTACAGTAGAGTAAGTTTAACATGTTCTACAGGCGACTCTTGTGAAGGTGATGCAGACTGTTCTCTCAGTGTGGTCACTGGGCACAAGCAGCAGCGGTAATGATAGCAGCAGTGAGGCACAGTTTCAGCATGTCATCATCATCACATTCACCCCCCTTCATCCTCAGTCCCATGGCGTGAACAGCAATGTCCCCCTCCTCCCCTGCTCCTGCCCTCTCCCTGATGGACCTTGTGTTTGGCTGTCATGGACTCTGCTGCCCTCTGTTGGTGAAGTGTCAGGTGTGTGGGGCTACTCGTCATCCCATGTCTGCTGTAGCAGGAAGTTAGCAGCTAGATTCTCGTTCTTCTCACAGGCGAAGTAAGCCTGGATGACTAAGCCTTCAGGAAAGCCCAGCGCTTTTAACTGGAACAGAACACACATTTATATTACACACACATAACAGAAAGGCTCTCTGAAACAGTTACTGGTAAGCAGGCTTGCAGAGTAATGCATTACATGTAACGGTATAATTAGGATGTAAAAAGGTTAACTGTATAAGCTTACAGTTAAAAATATATATATATATATTGGGAAATACATTTGCACAAGTGAAAACACTTCATGAGTCTCAAAGTGAGATGAGTCATGCCATGAGTGAGGTCATCACCTGATTTGTTTAAAAGTACTGTGGGCGCGTTTCAGGCATATACTGTAGGTATCCTTGTAAAACAAGCAGTTTTTATTTCTCTCTTTATAAGTTATAATGTTCTGTACTTTAAGTTGGAATCCATACGCCTACTACCTAAATTTGATTTATGATTTTCCCTTTATGTGTGTTAACTGTATGTATTGACTAAAACAGAGCATTTTCTGTTAGCTCAGACTCTATTTCTGCTTTTTTAAACGGCAGTATGTGCTCATGTGTTTCATGGTTGCTCTATACGATACTGCCTGAGAATGCTTCATGAATGGCAGGTTTTCCGATATATAAAATCTCTGAGCAGAAGACATATTTTGATACTAAATAATAATAAGGTTACATTGTTCTGTTGTCTTACAGAATACACTGAAGTATATATATTTATTTTCTGTTGTATTCATTTGCATTGCATATGATATTGACGTCACCCAAAAGTAACGGAAAGTAACATTGGAAAGTTACCTTACTTTCAATTGTGACATATAAGGTTACGGATTACTTTGTTTTAAAGGTAACTAGTAATTGTATTAGAAGACGTTTTTATAATAATCCTCCCAACCCTGCTGGTAAGGCTACACTCACTTACAGATAAACACATCACAACAGGATCCATTATAACAGTATCATCATCAATCATTGAAGCACTATGATGTGTACACCATACACCAGGATTCAAATACATGTAGCAATATTCATCTTCAGTGTATACAATACTACGTGTTGAAAAGAAAAATAAATACTTTCGCATAGCTTTTATTACTGGAGCAAACCATTAAGAAGCAGAATTTGTTTTAACCCATTTGATCATGTTGCTGAATTTTCCAGAGAAGATCAATTCAATAGGACTGAACACAGAGTGGTAACTGACCCTCTCGATGGCCTCCTTCTCCTGGGGGGTGACCTGGATGTAGTTGGGCTGTGGCGGCCCCTGGCCCTCGGCCCCCTCCCCCTCCCCTTCCGTGTCTCCAGGTCTTGGTTCATTCAACATCTGCACAAAACGCTCCTGGTGCTGCGTGATTTGCTGTAAGCGATAAATACAGACAATATCAATACGACAGTGCAGCTAATAGACAGGTTCCTCCCCAGCAAAAATAACTACAAACCAGATGATTCTAAGAATTTGAAGTAGTCATAGTAAAATGAAATTGATGATTTTGTAAGATTATGGTTAGTTTGTAAAACACAGGGTTGCATACAGTATGCAGCTGTGGTCCTTTTATGCTTAATGAGAAAGCAACACATTGAAACATTATGGTGGAGGGTCAATTAAGAGTTGAGTAGTCAGACTTTTCTTACATAACTCCATTATTCACTTTTGCTAAATAGTATTTGAATATATACTTATTTATTTGGATTAAAAAGATATATCATGCAGAATTTCACTTCAAATAGCTTCTGATGTAGCAATAAAGCAGTTTAAAGAACACTTCTTCTATTATTAATAATGTTGTACACAATTGTATTTAAAAATGTGTTTGTGTGTACATCAAAAAGAAAACAGCGAGCAGAAATGTCCTCTGAATTGTCAATGTCGAGACAGTGCCTGTAGTTTATTCCCAGATCGGCACTGAATGACTTCCTTTACGTCTTGGTTGAATACTCGGTTCTGATTGGTCAATTTGCACATTGCAGCAGCCTGCTCTTTTTCGATAGCAGAGCGTTGCTAAGGATGCTCTGAATCAAGGACTAGGTTTATTCGCAGTAGAAAATACTATTTTTTGTAACTGAAGCAATACAATAGTTTGTAAATCAATTAAATCATCTTTAAATCACTGTTTAAAGTCAAGTAGTTTCATTTAGTAAGTAGCTGTGTAATAAGCAGGATAATGTGTAGTGATCAGAGGTGGGAAGTAACTAAGTACATTTACTCAAGTACTGTACTAAAGTACAATGTTGAGATACTTGTACTTTACTTGAGTATTTCATTGTATGCTACTTTGTACTTCTACTCCACTACAATTCAGAGTTAAATGGTGTACTTTCACTCCATTAAATGTATTTAATACCTTTAGTTACTTTACAGAATTGGATGAATGATGTGAAATATAATCGACCCTTAAATCAGACTTTAGTTCCACCTGGAGTAAATTCACAAGCTACCCTGCAGTATACAAAGTCATTCAAACTAGCTGCACCTTTACCAGCTTTGAGAACACTTTAATTATAAATCATTATAAAAACATATCATATATATTATTCTGAAATGGACCAATCTGCATAAGAGTACTTAAGTATATTTTGATGCTAATGCTTTTGTACTTTTACTTGAGTAACATTTGGAATGCAGGACTTTTACTTGTAACAGAGTATTCCTACACTCTGGTACTTCTACTTTTACTCAAGTTCAAGATCTGGGTACTTCTCCCGTCTCTGGTATTGATCAGAAATGAGAGAAAAGAACACCTTCGGGTTGGGATCCTGCTCACCCTGTCGGGGTTATTTTCATTAATGACCGGCTTACTGCACATAATCCCTTACTTGACAGATCGTACTGTAAGAAGATCAGACACACTTGAATCCCCATTATTGGTGTGTGTGTGTGTGTGTGTGTGTGTGTGTGTGTGTGTGTGTGTGTGTGTGCGCGCGCTACCTGCAGCAGCTGCGGGTTGTCTCGGCCCAGCTGCTGCAGCAAAGCTGGAAGCAGGGCCGGGTTTTGCTGGATGATCTGTCTCATCTGCTGGAACTGAGGCTGGTTCCTCAGGAACTCCAGGGGGTTCCCTGTGGGGGGGGTTCCCCCCCCAGCAGAGGGGGGCTGGCTGCCAGACACTGGCCCTGCTGGGGAGGCGAAGGGCTTTTTAGAGGGTGAGAGTACATTTTCTGGAAGATGTTTTATAGACAAAACAACCAGATATGAAAGTCTGTTTCTGAATAGTTTAGCATAAAAAAGACCTCACAAATCATGACACCTCTTCAAACTGAAGCTGAAATATAAAAAACTGTTAGCATGGAGCAGCCAGGCTTACAAATTTGCAACAAACGCCTACAGTTTGTCAGGAAATTAGCATTTTATTGCATGAAATAAATTAACACTTCTATCATGGTTTTTTTCCGTGTACATTAGCATTGCTGTTTTTGTTGTTATAGCTGTATATAACCAAATCTAAATAAAAAACACAAACACATAAAACGATTCTGCAAAAATAGAGTTGATAAACGTGCGATCTCACTGGTTGAGGCTGGTGGGGGTGGTTGTGGTTCTTGTGCAGCCGGGGCGGGGGGGTTGGTGGGAGCACTCTGTCTCACTGGCTCCTGAGGGGGCAGATCAGTGGCATCGGCTGGGATACCCTGCAGATCAAAGACATTTACTAAACACAGGGGTGGGCAGTAGGTTTAAGGACATCCAACACACTGTCTGGCTGAACCCTCACCATGAGGAGATACTCCACGGCCCGGTCGGGGTTGTTGTAGCTGGCTCTTAGAGCAGCCACCACCTGCTCCCGCTCATAGCCCATACACATGATCTCTGACACCAGGTTCTCATAGGCTGGACCTGTCACTGTGGAAACATAAGGAAAGGAACGCCAGAGGAAAAAAAGGTCACATTTGTTCTATAAAACACATTCCCCATCAAGCTTTGCAAACATTTGAGTTAGCGGTGAGTCACACCTGTGCCCTGCATTCATTTGCAGACATCTGTGTGTTAGTGTGTGTTTTTGTCAAAACAGACTGTGGGAGGAATGAGAGCTTTTCACAGTGCATCAGTGCCTGGATTTCACAAATAGTCATCTTTCAGCTGTAGACCTCTTTCGGACACTTTGTATTGGTTTTAATTAGAGTTTGATTTGAATAGAATTGTTTCAAAGAGATTACAATATTGTAAATATAACGACACATGCAGCATATTTCTCTTTATGCAGATGCACTACTACTCTAATACTTGTCCTGTCTATCCTGCACATGCTCACATGGCTGAGTCGTTACCAAACAGCCACAGGTTCAAATGTGACCAGTAGCTCTTTGCTCCATGTAATCAATCATTTCCCTTTCCTTGCTATCTTCAGCTGTACTTTATATTTCAGTCAAAAAGCCCAAAATAATCCAGGCACTATGAAATCAGTACAGTAGAAATGTTTCCTTTATCACAGAGGGAATGACAATCACAAATGTATTACCAAGTATTGAGGCTGCTTCTTCAAGGAGATCCAGTTCATCTACAAGGCTTTGAGAGAAATAAACAAGAACAAAAAACATGAGTACGGTACATCGACATTCTAAGGGGAAAAGACAAGAAGTCTACATAGCTCTCTGAGGCTGCTGATGCTAAGATGCTCACAGAGACAATGCCTACATGTGTGATGTGTACTACCTTCATTTATCATGTGTGCATTCAAATGAAACACATAGTACAGCTGGCTATTAACCAAAGTGTTTGGGAAATAAATGCTTGGACATGATAATGGAATAAGAGGAGAAGTTACGGGATCACCATAATTATTCAATGTTGCCTTGAGGGGAACAGAAGAAAATGATATTGCAATTCCTGATGGGACGTTTCAGTCTGGTCACTACGCCTGATGTAGGTGAGGAATGTCTTTAAAAGATTATAAATATGTTGTTTATGTAAACATTGGTTCTTTCCAACCTGGAAGAGACTGGTGCAGTGGCGGACGGTTCATCCCCAGGGTCTTCTCTTGGCTTTTCTTCTGGCTTGGCAGAAGGGGGGGGTTGATCTGCAGGGGCCGAGGCCTCTGGAGCTGGAGGAGGGGCTGGAGTAGAGTCTGGTGTAGGGGCTGGGGCTGTACTGGAGTCTGGAGCTTCAACGGGAGCCAGGGGAGGGGTTTCTGGGACTGGGGGCTTTGATTCAGAGGGCGGCGCAGACTGTGGGGCAGGTGTGGCTGCAGACACTGAGTGTGTGGGTGTGGGGGGCACCGATGTTGAGGCGGAGGATGGTGCTGGAGCTGCAGCTGGCTGGGGAGTTGGTTGAGGGGCTGCCTTTGGTGGGGGGGCTGGTTTAGGCTAAAAAGACATAAGAATGTATGAATGTTTTGTGGATATAATGATCAGAGATAGAAGCAATCCATTCTCCATTTCACTCTACTAGACCAGGCTGTACATTCCACAGTTACATTTCCCTATTCGTGTCATTATTTATATCAGAGGTGAACCCAGTGCAAACACACCACAAAAGGCATCCAAGTAAAACCCATAGGGAGAACATCCATTTACAGCTCAACATGTTCTTACACATTCCACGTCACATATTTGATGCGTGGTTCACAGTTTTGGTAATCCTGTCCTGAAAAGAGAGTGTTAGTAAAAATGTAAAACAAGGTCTACTGATTTTGAATTACTAAAGTTGTCATTAGTCAGGAACGGACATGTTTTTAAATATGAGCTGTTTAGATATTTATAGTAAAAAGCCTGATTCTCTTTCACAAGAATTTACTACATGTTTACATTGGGGTAGGGAGTCCTGATGAAAGGAAAAGATATGACCATTTTAAAATATTCTATAATGGTTAAAACATAAATACACTTCGCACCAGATCTGGGTAGCAAATGTAATCAACCCCAAAACGTACCAGACAATATTATAGAGCATGGGAATGGCCGCCATATACTTGCTTCACGTTAGGCCCCATGTTCTTTGTTCAATAATGACCACCTCACTGCACATTATCCCTTACGTACACTCTAGTGTTTGAAATTTCAATAGTTGCCGAACCAAATCACAATGTTTACAACTCATTGATTACTCACCTTCGTTATCATGACCACTACAAAGTTCTTCTCATCAATTTTGTATTCTTCCAGCAGGGTGTCATCATTAAGGATTTTGCCTGTGACAGAAATAGCAAGTGAGAAAATATTTGTGACACAGTTGAGAATAGGACAGCTTCCCTTAAACTAAACAAACAAGGGTGTCACTTTTTGCCCACAATTTGCTTCAAAGTTCAGTTTTATGTCAATAATTTTCCTAGATACAGTATGTGTTGTCAGGCTCACCGGCATAGATGAGTTTTTGACCTGCAGCAGGAAACGCATCTTTTCCTCGGTCCTTCTCTATTTTCTCCTTCAGGGCTTTCACCTAAAAACATTGCCAGAATAATCTAGGATATTAGTGGGAGGGTTACCTCCAAATGTCACGCTATGTCACCGAGTGTTGGTTGTTGATGGTAATGTCATACCATCATATGTTGTGAAGTTTGTTACTTTTCAAAAGGTGGATGTTCTCCAGAGAATAAGTGTGGTGACTAAAACCTGTATTAAATCACACCTGGTTCTTTGTATATTGGGGTTTCTGTCTAGAATGTCTAATCTACATAAAACACAATATCATTTTTGTTCCCTTGTACAACCATAATTCACCCATCTGTATAGTGTCCCAGAGATGGAGTACTCAAGTCCTGGAGCCGGACTAGACTACGACTCTCCCTAGGTGACTCGGACTTGGACTCGGAGAGTGGTGACTCGAGAGTGACTTGGACTCGTGAATTGTTAAAATTCAATTTCTTGCACACTTAATGTAAATAATATCCTAAATTTAAATTTGGTTGGCTGTAAGTTGGACCTTAATAGTTTATATTTGACAAATAGTCTATAGATCAGGGCTCTCAAACTCAAGGCCCGGGGGCCAAATCCGGCCCGCGACTTCATTTTATGTGGCCCCGCAAGAGTTTGCAAAGAATATAATACGTTTATTATACGGTTACATGCCACTTTTCAGAAGCAGGTTGCCCATAAACTACCTGTCCCACAATGCATCTCGTTTTGTGACATGCGCACTGAAGAGTCTTGCAATTATTTGCCCGGGACTTCTGCTTTCAGACGTAGTTATTTACTAAGTTATTATCCTATCCGATAATAATCCAATTCAGAGACAATAATGTAATATAATACATTATTTTATATATATATGCGAATGTGGCCCGCGATGAAATTGAGTTTGACACCCCTGCTATAGATATTTATCTTTCACTGTCAGTGTCAATATGTATATATTTTACTTTTAGTTTTATTTTCTAATTTTTAAGATGTTTATTTTTGACATCATGTGCAATGCCTTGTTTACATCCTGGTATGACGAAAATATTTCCAAAATTGGGATCAATAAAGTAAATCTTAGGCTATCTATCTTTCATTAGAAGCTGCCAGCTGGCTAGACTTGTTGTATTCTGTAAATGGAGAGGGAAGACTTCGATTTAGTTTGGTAATCAGTTTGTCTGCGTACTGTGTCTGAGTGTGTTTTTGTATATCCATGTCATTGGTTGCCTGACACAAAAAGGAATCATTGTGTGTTTGGAAGAAATACACTTAGAAAAACAAATTGGAAGAATTAAATACTGGCGCAGTTAGTACGATATTCTTTCTTTTACTGTCACAAAGGCTGTAAGGGAAACTTCTGTGTAGCAATGCAGTGGGAGTCACCGACTCATGAAGGAGACACGGGAAGAGCAGGAGCTTTGATGTCAAACACTGATGGTTTATTTAGGAAGTTCGGCCGGAGGATTCACATCACAAGTCACAGCAGTCACGGTGTGACTGCACGGGAGAGTTGCCACGTCAATTCTGGAGCGCCTCTCTCTCGTTAGCCCATTTAACTGGTTTCACAGAGAGTAATCAACATATTTGAGAAGATAGCCTAAACAGTTGGGAACACTGAGTCACTTGCGTCTGACACTTATGGCCTCGAAGATTGCACACCTTGGAGTCCACAAACACCGAGAAGGAAGTGTCCCAGTGTACCCACAACAATAAACCATCTGTGACCTAGGGTTGCCCGGTCATAGAATGGGAGCAACAACATTATGGCTGAAGCAGCCTATCTCCTTAAAGGAGATAACAGACGTCAGGGTTGGTCATGCACCGTGCATGTCATATCTAGGAGTCTAGGATAATTATTTCCCTAACAAAAACTAATAAGCAATAAACCTGATTCTGAGTCATAAACTGAGATGTTTGACAAGAAATATTTTGGTCATCAAGGATCGGCATCAAAACAATATTTACAGTTGTTTTGTAAGCCAAACATGTCATCCTATTAATTTACAGAAGTGTAATGCTACATGCACATGTCTAATTTGTTGTTGTCATGATCACACTTCACAGGAATTAATTAAATACAATACATTTTTCTTATATAAAAATGTAAAAATAAACCTTCCCTTTACAATATTAACAGAAAGGAATTGTGAAATATTGCTTCGTCATTCATGGTGAGCCACTGTAACAAGTCAAACACTGTCAAGCTCCAGAACGCACAGAAAACATATCCGGTCAGAGTTTTCAGAATAAAACCTCCGTATCGTGTCAAGAAGAAGCAACGTCAAGATATACAAACTATAGAGACTATTTGACTGTATTGTGGAGTAAATCAAAAACATTAGTTCAGTTACAATGTTATCTTTAGAGAGTGCAAAGTGTGCTTTGATATTCTTGTAAATCATGCTACACTTTTACTTTGAAGGGACACTTGCTTAATATCCGCCTTGCCCTGGCAGCTTCTAGCTACATTACCTTACATGAACTCAGGTTCTGCATGTTTGCTAACTTGTTTGACTGCATATTTGTCCCAGTGACGTGACGTTACTTTTTCAAACCAACACACGAGTAATCTCCTTTAAATAGTTGAGCAGCCTTTAACGTGGTTAGCGTTACATTACATTAGCTAACATTCCCCTATACCAGTCTAAGTGCTGGCCTGACCGTGTTTACTTCAGCCCCGTTAACTTCTACCGTTACTCACCGTCAGTTCTGGGTCTATTTCTATTTTGAACGTCTGCTGTTGGAGGGTCTTCAGTGTTATTATCAGCATCTTGCGACGCGGTGTCAGAGGCAGCTGGTGGTTCAAAGTCAGTGTACACACAACGGAAATTTCTCGAGAGTAGCCCCTCGTTTCGCACAGTATCAATTTATCTGGCTCTGGCTAATGTATGTGACTCAGCGGTCTCAGAGCCGTGTAAGGAGGGGGGCGGGGCAAGGACGCCATCTGCTGCCGAGGCAGGGCACGACACGCTGCCGCCTTCAAGGGCTATCGGAAATATCGCGAGAGCGGAGATAAATTAGGCCGTACAATCAGTGGTGGAAAAAGTACTCTGATCCTTTACTTTAGTAAAAGTGCTAATACCACATTCTAAACATACTCCATTTCAAGTAAACGTCCTGTGTTGAACATGTTACTTAATTAAAAGTAGAGAAGTAGTATCAGCTAATGTACCACTCAAGTATCAAAAACAGCTTACTCGAGTCGCTGGGCAGAATGCCTCTTATAAATTTGTTGTATTATTTCAGAATATTATATTATTCTGTTTTTACTATTAGAAAATACATAAGGGTTTTTTAATGTTGTAATTAGTCAGTATAGAGCAAAAAGTACTGAGTAAATTAGTAGTTAATATATATCATACTGTGTTAATTGTATTTATGTTAAAAGTAACTACAAGTGTCAAATAAATGTAGTGCAGTTAAAGTACAACATGTCCCTCTAGCGAAGTGGAAGTACAAGTAGCAGAAAATGGAAATAATAAAGTAAAGTTAAAAGTACCCTAAAACTTTACTGGAGTACATTACTTGAGTAAATGTACTGGATAAAATAGTGTCATCGTATTTTAACCTGGGTCATCTTAACCGGGCCATTCTTCGTTTCTCACCTAGGGCATTTTTAGATTGAAAAATTGGAATTCATTCATATTCCACATTTAAGAGGCTGGAACTGTAATATATTTGGAACAAAAAACAATAATAAATGTTCTGCTAAACAACTCATGGTTTTAGTTATTTAAAAAGTTACTAAATATAATGTTGGAAAGCTTAATCTACACCAAATAATCCTATTTTACAAGTTTCTCCTACGTAGTGTGTCAGAATCTGAATCTAAAATAAAAGTAGGAGTGAAAAGCACAATATTTGCTTCCAAAATGTAAACAAGTAGAAACTAGTATAAAATGAAAAATCTGTACTATTTACTACATTACTTGAGTAAATGTACTTAGTTGCTTTCCACCACTGGTTATAATACCATTACCTATATACTACATATTGGTATACAAAATGGGATAAGGGTGTCACAAGAAGACATTGTATGTATTGGGCCTTCACATTGCCTCATCGTATTTAGAAAATCCTCTACATTTTTGGGGAGAAACGTTTTTGCATATATACATCAGAGGTTTGGAAAGATAGGGGAAGACATTTTCATCCAAAACGTTGGTATCATGTTTGCACAGATACTGAAAATGTTAAAACACCCGAGTAAAAACAAGGTTGGATGCTTGCTGTCCGATTGTGTTGGCCACCATCTATGAAACATCTCCTTCACACCATACTGAAATTAGACTGACCCCTACCACTGAAAACACGTGTGAGCTGGTAGAGAGGGCTTTCATTTATTCACTGTAACTGAACAGTGTGCATCCACAGGACAGTCATTCAGAACAATGAGAACATTTTGATTGCACACATCACAGCTCATCTAATGCAGTCTCACTCTCAAACACACATCACACACTCATGGAGAAAGCAGGTATGCCCAAAATCAGAGCTTTGGAGACTTAGGGAAATTAATGTAATGATTAAATAAATAATGAAGGGGTCATTTAAGAAATAAACAACGAGGCATCATAAAGGAGAAACAAAAGTGCAGAACGTAAAACATCAGACCCTCAATTTACTAGGCAACCCGACAAAGGAAATACAAAAAGTGAATTGGCTCCGAGTGCACACACACACACACCATGTAAATCACATTCGATTTCTCAACCGAAGACACAAACTGGAAAACAACATGTAAACCCTCACCCCTTCTCTAATTTGAATGCTAAAAAAAGCAACAAGGGAATCAATAAAAAAGAAATCTGACCTGACCCCACCTGACCCCTCCCCCACCCCAAACCTGAATAAAAGGCTGCTTGTATGAAAGGCCAGAGTCTATCCTTTATAACTCGTCCTTGTCTTTGACGTCTTCCTCTTCCGTCCCTGCGTCCTCATCCTGCTCGCCCTCGTCTTCCTCGTCCTCTTCCTCCTCGCCGTCTTCCTCATCCTCTTCCTCCTCGTCTCCAGCGTCTTTCTTCTTGCTCTTCTCTTCCTCCTCCTTCAGTTTCGTCTCCATGTCCTCCTGCTCGTCCTTCATCTTCTTCTCTGGTCCCTGTTGGGAAAACAAGACGAGTTGTTGGGATGCGTTGGGAACACAGGTGTGTCATTACCTAGCACACGGACTTCCCTGATTCTATAACAACACCTGCATTATGTGCTTCACCAGGCAAGCTACAAACAACAACAGGTACTCAAAAGCACCCAATCAAGGGCGTAGTGCTCCTGGAATAGATGTTTCCTGGGTTGCGGTCCGATAGTCATTTTAGCTTCCTAATGGAGTGAAACGACTTAAAAGAACTTGTGTGGCATACATCCTAAAATACGTTTACATTTTCTAGATAATAGAAAAGGACCTTAACACTTCCCGTGGGGTCCCCTTTAGACAAGAAATACACGTTGTTTACAAAAGAAAAGGAGATAATGCCGTCCCACAATTCCTTGTGTTCTCAACATTTAAAGTGACGCTCCATTCAGCCGTTTACAGAAACACCCAATCTTGACCAACGAACATGGATCATGTACATTACGGTGCTTATTAAGCATGTTTCATCTCATGCCATAACTTGCTAAAGTGCTTATGAGTTTTGAATTATAATCAATACATTAAACCAAAAGGCGAACAATTTAAATTACATTGATTACTTTAAAATCATAAAATAAAATCTAAAGTTCACTGTGTCAACTGAGTTGGGCGGCCTTTCTTAAGCTATTCTTTTTCATTCGACATTTGTAAATGTTAAGCAGTAGTTGCAGTCAATGTGGAGGGCTAACATCTAATGCATGTATTGCATAAAGTATTATTTATTCGAATATTTTCATACAATCTTATACAATTGATCTGGATGCGCTTTAGTAGTCCATTCATGGAAATTGTACTTTTTCTGCTGCCGCATAATACATATGTCACCTATAGCTTGCGATGCTAGATCTAGTCAGCCGCTATCCTGCTATTCTTTTATATTATAGCTGGTTAGCAAAACAAAACTGTTGTGAGACAATTAGATAATAGCTTTTGTTGCAATTTAATTTGTGTCATGCTTCAGAGAAATGTGAGGGTATAAGTGAATTACATTACATTTATCCAAAGCGACTTACAATAAGTGCGTTCGACCAACAAAATGAATGAAGAGGTAATTAAATATTAATGGAGTGCTATCATTACACTAACTATAATTCAGGTCAGAAGTGTTTTAGTGGTCTGGTCCAAGCAAGAAATATGTTTAATTGGTTTTACATGCATTTGTCAAAATTGTCTTATTTAAAAAAAAAAAACTAAGCACCTAAGTAAATCGATGAAACGTTAACGCGTATATTGTTTTGTTTAAAACACAAAGTAACTACTAGGTTCTTCCTAAAGCAGTGAAGTCATCCTACCTTAGTAGCTCCCCAGGTGTCCTTCCCAAACTCCTCTGCTTCTTTGATGTCGTCAGTAATCAGGAAGTTGTCAAAGATGGTGCCAGATTTCACCTGAACAAAGACACAAAACAAATAAGTATTGTTTACTCAAGGAATCTCTGTTATCTTCGACCAAACAAGTCTTCTTGTATACTTAGGCTTGATAATTAATTGTGACAACTCTCTCTGAGGGGGCGACAGTCATTACCTGCCACAGATCCAGGCCCAGAACTGCAATCTTTTCAAACTTGTACATGTTGGCATCAGCAGTGTACTCCGGGTTGTCGATCTCAGGGTGGACCCAGGCTCCCTTGAAGTCGGGATTTTCGATCTGCTTGGGCTTCCACTCGCCCTGCAAAGACAAAATGAGATAGATATTACCCCTGACACTGCCCTTACTCTTCTCTCGACACAGATAGGATTTACAGGGCTGAACAAATCATTTAGTCTGTATATTCCTTACCTTATATTCTGGGTTACTGATCATGGCGGGCTCCCACTCTCCGTCCATGTCCACGTCCCAGTCGTCAGGCTTCTTGGCATCGGGGTCAGGGATGGTCTCTGGCTTTTCCCAATCCTGAGAGACAGCAGAATTAGAGCTTCCACTCATGTCTTATTGTATCAACACAATGTAATAACATGATGCACGGCGCATAGACGTATTCTATGGGAACTATTATCAGCCCTACGATAATGTGATTGATAAATCCCGTTTTGACTTTTTTTCTCTAGTTCCCTGTTTCATAACAGTTCACAAGACCAGTTCATCAAAGATGCCTTTGTTAGCCGGTCCAACTGGGACCACAGCTAACATATTGCACATATAGTAGGCCTAATTTAAAAGAAATGTATCGAAGCATGACACTTCCTGTTCTGTCAACGGCATGTTTAACACTTTTTATGACTGTCTGATTTCACTTGGGATGAGCCATTCTACTGACCATCTCTGACTGTCCTCATACATGACCATTCTTCCAGATGCTATGGTGAGATTAGCTATGCAGAATTAAATTACACACAGCAGCTCAGGTTAGCAACTGTTCCTCACATGCGACTCTACTAGCATCTCCAATGTGGCATTTCTGGCACAAATCTGTCTAACCAAGAGGTCAGCTCAGAATTGCTCATAATAAACTGTGACACCTTGTTCAAATGTAATTAAGCAGACTTTAACACTATGCTACTTTTTTTCTGTCAGTTTAGTTTTCAATAAACTCTTTCTTTCTGCCCTAAAATGTTAGCTGGGTGATTAGAGGAAAAAACCAAGGAATCATAAAACAAATTCATCTTGCACAAATACACAATTTTGTCATATATCAATCCATTGAACACATTTAACTTGTGTCTAATCTATATATTGTGCATGTACTTTGGGTGTGCACATAAGCATGTCCTCAAGCATGACACGGACTGATAATGACATAGATATAGTATACAACATCCAAATAGCAGACATGGCCTTTTTAAAAACTTAAGAGGCCGCAGGGTTTGTCCAATGTGATTTTAGAGGCACCTCAATTAGAATAACAATTTCTCTACTCTGGGAACATGTTGAGTGAAAAAAAAGTACCCAAATATTAACAGTCCTTTTAACAGAGAGTTCAAGGACTCGTTTTATGGGGGCTCTGTCCCCCCTCACCCTCCTAAGGAACTCCAGTAGATAAGCTGTGATTGAGGGTCTGAAATCTTTGTTAGTCTATAACAAAACTTGTTATTTGATCAGGTTGTCATCCTCATAATGTTCAACAGACAGCAGGTATGATTAGGCTAACTCATTTTTAAGCTAGTAGCATAGAGGACGAATACTATTCTAGAATGAGTTTAAGCTGCTCAGATGATAGTTGGTGTCGGGTGTGCATTTCCCCAAGGATACACACTGCCTGTAGTAATGCAAGATCCCACTCTCCAGTACCCTTCATTGTTTGGGCCTGTCATTCATCTTGACTTCCTTCCTGCCTTTCAGCTTGAAGACGTGTTCATTTTCAAAATATGGAGATGACAGTGTCATATTCTGAAAGCAAATACTTTGAGATGACATCCAGCACATTTTGATATAATGTGTCACAATGGACATGAATCTGGATTTTTCAGTTTTTTTAAAGTTGGCTTCTGTGTTTGAAATTAGCTTCAAGCCATCCACACCGGGCCCTGACGTCCTACCTCAGACATGGTGTCCTCGGGGTCGTCGATCTTGGCCCTGTCGTCCCAGTCGCTGGGCTTCTTGGCCTCTGGGTCCTTGATGTTCTTGGCGGGCAGCATGTCCCAGTCTTCCTCCATGGAGCCGGACTCCACCTTCTCACCGTCGATCTTCACCTCGTACGTCTGGTCTGGGTTCAAGATCAGTGTGTACATGTGGGTCAGCTCGTCATCCTGGAGGTAAAGGGAGTTTAGAGTGAGTACAAATCTTTAAACCCATGTTATAATCTTACAATTTCAACAGACATCATGCCGTAGTTACCTTGCATTTGATGTCTTTCTTGATGAGGTGGTTCTGGCCCTTGTAGTTGAAGATCACGTGAACCTTCTTTGTGCTGTATCCACAGATGTCGGGCCCTGGAGACAAAGGTCATGTTTTGTTTATGAATTTAGCAATACCAAAGGGCTCTCTCTTAAAAACAGCCATGTTCTGTAGTCAGGCCTCGGTTACTCAGGTCCAGCATGACTCACCAAACATGATGTAATACTCGGAGTCGCCATGCATGTTGCTCTGGTCGAGGTCAGAGGGGAAGACCTTGACGTAGCCGCCTCCGCAGTCGATCTTCTGCTCGTGCTTGATGGTGAACTGGATGACCAGGGGCGTTCCCTCGTTGCTGAAAGGCTCAAAGCGTGCCGACATTGAGTAAAAGCGGGCATCCTGGCTGGTCTGGAGACCTAGGGTAGGTACAGTGAAGAAAGTCAACATCTGTTAGCAACAGACGTGTTCTTATTACTTCTTGAGCAAGTTTCCCTTTTAAAAATGGCTTTATTCACTTAAAATGTGGATTTTATTGTGTGCCGGTTACTCTCGGAGTTACTGTAGAGTTTAGGGATATACATAAGCCTGCATCACCTCAGCACACTGGCCCCAGGATGTCAGGAGCCCTAAAGGTTCTAGCATAACTGAGTAAAAACTGGGTTGTGCTAATTCCATTGTCCCTAATCACTAAAGTTAGGCATCACATTCCACAGAGTAAACATGTCAAGCATAGAAAAGTTGTATCAAATGCATGAAAATGTGGTGGTTTTGGGGGGGGGGGGCGCCCCGGCTCGGCACCCCCCCCCTCCCCCCTCTGGCAGGTTTGTTGAGTTCTCAAAACCTGCAGACCAATTTCAAGTTCCTGCACCGAGAGCAGCTTATATAGACACACCTCTTTTACCTACATTTGCATGATAAGACGGCTTTGTCTTGGTGACAGAGGAATTACCTTTATCAGCTTCGGCATCTCCATAGAACTTCCCAGCACTCAGTTTCAACTGGCCGTAGTCTGACTTGTGCTTGGACTCGGCCCAGCGGCTCTGCCATGCATCTGAAACACAAATATATAATTTAGTTTGGTAATAATTTATATACTAACAGGAAATGCTAATATATTACTTGTTGTAGGCATACAAGTACTGAAAATTGCTGCACTGAATTTGTAGACAACTTCCTAAAACGTCTGAGTATTTAAGGATGACTGCGCAATGACAAGGGGGATAGGTGTGAACGAAGTCTCGTTTGCATTTTTTTCAGCACTAATACTGATTTAGTCCACAATTTTAACAGTTTATAGAGCTCATATCTTATCTGGATAGTTCCCAAAGCTTCTGTCCCCTTTTTTTTTTGTACCCTTTTCATCGAACTTCTGCTTTTATTCGAACAGTTTCTGCACAGTACAGTTACGTTACGTAGTTTGAACAAAAAGTAACGTAACAGCAGTATGGAAGCCATCAATATCAAAAGTGAAAGAATATTTGGACTCGTGTACAAGGGTGTCACTGTCAACTCGAAATTGAGTATTACTGGTGGATTTTTAAAATAATATCAGAACTTCGATTTTTAAGGTTACTGTAATGCAGTACTTTAGCCATTTATGAGTGTCTCTCAGTTGATTAATACACATAATAATAATAATAATAATAAGGTGGCCTAGCCTATTCTAATGGGTTGAATTCATGCAGCAAGGAATTTTCAAATTAGCATTTTCTTAAAAAGACGAAAGATAAAGTTACCAACAGTTAAAAGCAGTCAGTCTCACAGCACAACTATTCAAACATAGGACAAGAACACGTGAATTGGCTCAAAGTTACTGTACCTCCATCCAGAAACTGTTCCTTGAAGTACACGGTGGCGTCAATAGTGACAGCTATCGATGCAAAAACTGCGAGGATGGCTACAGCTAGCTTCATGTTGGCAGCTTCTTCTCACCGGGGCCAGGGAGGCGAAAATAGCAGATTTGAGGTGAAACGAGCTAATAAAGCCTGGAGGAAATGTAACCTGAGTATTTTAACAGCGGCAAGCCCTGCACAGATGGCCGCGGCTCATTGGACGAGCGTCCCACCAATCAAATGAGACCACGAGTTACTTTTCGGAAACACTCGGCCTGCCTCGGACGTAGATCGGAGAGGAGCCGAGATAAACAACTGCTGTGTTCAGGGACTGTGGGCAAAGTGTCATGTGAGTGGTTTTAAAGGTGAGGTGAGGTTGCTCAAATGTTACACACAGTGATTAAGAATATTTTCAAACATTTCAGGCGTTCATTTAATCCCCTTTCAGATCCACTAATGCATTTATGATTGGTCTTAGTTGACCTATTGAATTTAAATTGTATTTAATTATTGGCTGGTTGCTTTCATCTTCAACAATGTCTCCAATGCAACAGTAGTTTCGCAATCCGTTGTAGTTTTCAGTATTTCTACACCACTGGTGTGTCCGTGAGCACACAATGTGTACTTTGTGGCACGAGCAGGTCCGGTTCTAAGGGGGGAATAAGGGTGCATTGCCCACTCAGCTGAGTCGTTATGCACCCTCATTTGAAAAATGAAAAGTGGAGAAAAAGAAATTGTGAAAAATATGACATATATAATAACAATAATAATAATAGTAGTAATAATAATGATAAGAAGAAGAATATTGTTGAAATAAAATAAATTGTAATTGTGGTTAAATAACATTGTCTGCTGCATTTATTTGGTCAATTTAAACGGTGTAACGTTATGTCAGGTGCGCGCCCACCCTGCACGTTCGTCATCTGCAAAGTGCTTACACAGCAGTCAATGATGGACATCAGAAAATGTTTAAAACAACCAGCCCTTATCGCCAGCATCTACTGCAGGTAATAACAGTTCAGATCATGGGGACATTACGTTACCCGCGGCCACTGTCGTGGACAGTCCTCCCGCCTCGCCCACGGAGGCGGAGCAGCCGCAGCCGTCTTCGTTGCCCCAAACACCGCCACCCCTCGGCGGCCCGCAAGTGCCAGAGGACCTCGGCAAAACAGAGCCTACCCAGGTATATTTAAAAAAGTACCCAACTCGCCTGTAGAGTGGGGTAAGGCGCTCATTTTGCAGCTCATGGTTGCAAAACAGAGATTGGCTGGAATATTCATGTAAAAAAGAGGCCATCTTCTGGTATGCATGTAGACATTTCGGTCTTAAAAGGGGAGTGATTTGTAAAATATCCATAAAGAAAAAGTAAATCTGTTTAAAGTTCTGTTTCATTTGGGTGTTCAAATCAAATCAAAGTGTATTTATAAAGCACATTTAAAAGCGATTTTCGGTCGGGCCAAAGCTGTACATGTAATAAATACTACAATCACTTAAAAACACATTACTACATTTATAATAAAAGACAATAAATTACAACAGGTATATAGAAAACACAGGGAAAAGTCAGGAGTCGTGCTCCGCTCTGACTAAAAGGCCAGGGAGAAGAAGTGTGTTTTAAGTGTTGATTTAAAAACCCCAGGGTCTGGGCCGACCTCACATGGAGGGGCAGAGTGTTCCAGAGCCTAGGGACAGCTGCTGCGAAGGCTCGGTGCCCTCGGGTTTTGAGCCTGGTCTTAGGCACTATCAGCAGCAGCTGGTCAGCAGACCTTCAAGCTCTGGCTGGGGTGTAGCGCTGGAAGAGTTCAGCTATATAGGACGGAGCCAGCCCATTTAGTGCTTTAAAAACAAATAAAAGGAGTTTAAAATCTATTCTGAACCGAATTGGAAGCCAGTGCAGTGAGGCCAGAATTGGGGCGATGTGTTCACGCTTTTTGTGGCCAGTGAGTAGACGTGCAGCTGCGCTCTGCAATAGCTGCAGGCGTTTAATTGACGCCTGGACCATACCCACGTACAGAGCGTTGCAGTAGTCCAACCTCGAGGTAACAAAGGCGTTAATAACCCTTTCCAGGTCTTTAAAGGATAAAAACGACTTGGTCTTGGCCAATAGTCGTATTTAAAAAAAGCAGGTTTTGACTACGCTGCTGACCTGCTTATCGAATTTAAAAGTGCTATTGAAGGTCACTCCAAGGTTCATGACAGAGGGGAGGATGTTTTTATTGAGGGAGCCCAGAATATCAACCTGGGAGGCTGGAGGTTGGGGTCCAAAAAAGATGACCTCACTCTTGCTCTCATTGAGGTTGAGGAAATTTTGGCTCAACCAGGATTTCATCTCTGCTA